AAAAACATAAAATGGGAAAATTATTTTTACGAGGCGGTCATAAAAGCTTTTTGCGAGCACAAGAGCCGTAGTCTTTCTTTTCTTTATGGTGCCTGCGCCGGGATGCGAATGTGAACCCGAGGATAACCTAAAGACGGTGTAATATTCTTGAGACAACTGACAAAAACACAAATTTCAGCCGGTTCCTTCGAAGGTTATCTTTGGCGACTGTCTAAGGAATAAATTCTCGCCAAAAAGTCAGTTCATTCGTTCAGGAATTATTTACTGGCCACATTTTGTAGGTGTGTGCACAAAGCTTATGCTTCCTGGGCGTTTTATTGTTTTATGCACGCCAAGGGGGCTTGTGCTCGTTAAAGCGTTTGCAAGTACCCAAAGATCAACGTGTTAATCACGGAAGGTAATTACTTCATTATTTTATCCTTAAATTGTGCTGCTCTGTCAAAAAGGATGCTGATAAAAACTAACTGGAGCAATGTATTTTGTAATTTAAAAAATAATAGAATACCTTTTTTGCGCTAATATATTTATTGTTTAGATGCATATTTAAAACATTGTTAAATAACCTACGCATCCCTCAATATACTGATACTGATACTGATACTGAACCTTCTGTCAAACAATGGCATAAAAATGGACGAGTTTGTGTTAATAAATAGGGAGTGGCCAACTGTCGAAGTATTTTATAGAATCAGTACGTATTAGTCCGACATCTTCTCCTGGGGCCGAGGAGTGCTGCAGAAACCGTGAGAGGAAAAAGAGGACGGACATCTGAGACATAGTGCATGACGTTTCCTAACAATCCCTTTACGTACTTTAGTTTTCTGTTGAAATCAGTTCCTCAAACTAATCAGAACCGCTACATTTCACCACTTGACACTTATAACCATGAACTTGTTTTGTGCCAATCTTGGACCTTCAAGTGGCCTCCATTCTCAAACATGCATGGCTGCTTACTCCTCTGTGCCGTCAGTTTGGACGAACACAAATTACGTTCAAAGGATAAAGAAGATGTAAGTGTTCACTTCTGGCTTATCCTTCGTTAGAAGTCAGTTTTACTTTGATCCCTGGTTGAGGAAACATATGAAGTATCTAAGGGCTGGCTGGTGATGTTCATCCATCTGCCATGGTCATGATTAATCATTAATTAGTCGGTAGTACTTACCAACTATGGATAAATCTTTGTAATTTGACAGCCGGCAGGGACTCCAAAATAACACTTTAGGACCAAACGAAATCTCTCATAATCCGCTCTACAAGAAGAGTA